CCCCCCCCCAGCCCTTTAAGACAAGCAGGACCTTCCCAAGATCGCACTTCTATTTCACTCTTAAAGGTCCAGCCAGACTTCTGACTTGCTGGCAAGCCAGGGTTTAAGTGCTCTACGTTGGCAGTTGAAGCCCCCACATGATGTAAATTTATGTTTGAGGCAGAAAGGTGTTAGCCATCGCCATGTGTAATTTTTTCCTCAAAAGCCCAGGATCATCACTAAGGGAGAAACTCAGTTATGTTTTTCTCCTTTTTCTCACTGTAGTGTTAAAGGAGTGGGGGAATCAAAGTGGTTTCAGTTAGTGTTTGATTAAAATATGCTCCAAATCTAATCCCCCCTCCCAAATTCTTAGTCTGAATTCTTTGTTATGGAGGTTGTATATTTAATACCACCCCAATGATTGGGGTGGCTTGTGGGGCAAAAAAAATCTGGTGGGGCTGCCATTATTTGCCATAATGAAGGTGGGGTGGCATGCGCCCCTTTCCCTCTCCTCCTGCAAGATTTAAAGCGTCCTTCAGCTGATCCGCAGGAGGACATGGCCCACCACCACAAATCAGCTGGAGGGCCCTTTAAATCTTGCAGGAGGGAGAGGGGCTGCATCCCTCTCCACTTCTTTGTAAAAGAAAGGGGGCTGGCCCTTTAAGGAAGGCCCCCAATTGCCTCACTGTAGCTACAGGCCAGACAAAGACAAATACCGCTATTTTAAACTGAGATAAAGTTTACTGGAAAAATTCCAGAGCGGATGTATTTTTCACAAACTGTATATATTTCAGTGGGCAAACATTTGCCCTCTTTTTCATTCAGGCAGTGCCTGTGTTTTCACAATGCAGATATAAAACTTATACCCACCTAGGCTAAATTTCTGTGTTTGAACATTTTTTGATCAGTAGAACAGAACCAGGAAAAATAAAATCCAGTTAGAAATACAGTTGTGTGAAGCTTGTTTTAAAATTTCACCATACCACAGCTTGAACTTGCATGGGGGTTAGCTTCTGGATCCAGTCATCTCTCCTTGCATTGCAGATGATAGAAGTGTACCAGATCACATGGCAACTGTGATGGCTGATCCACAGAGAGTCACTTGCAGGTTTAAACATGATGCTGTGTGTGCAGAAGGAATCTAACAATGGAGGGTTCCATCTGGTCAGGCATCATGTTTAAAGGATTCTTAATCTGTGCTGCCTCTATATGTGTTGAGTTTGTATGTCAGCCTGGCTTCCATTTGGTTAATATGTTATTGATATGTGAAAACTCTGTATATAGCACACTTACATATGGGTTAACTCTTAGAATATGACATGAGAGTATACGGAACCTTGCGTAAGCGGGTGCTTTTTGTGTGCTCAGGGTCTCATTTTAATGAGCCATTAGTCAGGATGTTTTGGAACAAAAAACAGGATGGAGGTGGGCTCTGAGCTTACATGTTGTAAAAGCCATTGTATGTTGTTTGGAATGTTAGTTTAGGGTTAAATAAAGTTACTTGGGAGAGTTTAATAAATAATGTTTTCTCTGCTTCAGTCTGTGTGGGTGACCTCACAAACAGCAGTATTTCCAACAGAAAGTACTAAGCTTCATTGGTTTAACCTTTCAAGAGTAGTCAGTCAATCAGTACTTCAGTTGTACAGTTTAAGCTGTCTTGCTTACCTTGCCAGTGGCCATGCTTATCCCGTATGACCTGAGGTGATCTTACAGTAAACATGTCAAAACATGACCTTGACTACTCCTATAGCCTCAATTAGCTCATTCTTTGTGGGCAGTGCATTTCCCTTACTACTTCCTAATGTTAATTTGCAACTCAATTTGCATTTATTTAACATTTCCAGTAGCTGCTAATGGAACACCTTCCCATCCCTGTTTGGAAATTAACCATTAAAGTAATGGAAATTAACCATTAAAGTAATGGAAATTAACCATTAAAGTAAACCCATGGAAGTTACAGTTTCTCTTGCTTATTGCAGGTCTGATCAGTTAAACATCTGTGATTGCAGACTGCATGTACTGATCCATGGGTTTTTAACTTGTCATTATACTAGGTTCTGAACTAATTATATTGAGTTTCTTGAGGATAGCTTACTGAATGTAGCAGTATATTGGAGAAACTAAAAGGGCAGATTTTCGTAACAATGTACCAGGGAAGTGCTTGAAATATTAAATAAAGTACTATAATGCTGCAACATAAATCCATGCTGCTTTGGCTTTCATAAGAACATAAGAAGATCACCAGTGGTCCGTCTAGTCCAGCATCCTGTCTCACACAGTGGCCAGCTGGTTACTCTGAAGGGCCAGTAACGGTATAGAGGCCAAGACCTTCCCCTGATGTTGCCTCCTTGCTCTGGGATTCAGAGGTTTAGTGCCTCTGAATGTGGAGGTTCCCCTCACCATGGCTAGTAGCCACCGATAGGCCTATCCTCCATGAATCTGTCTAATCCTCCTTTAAAACTGTTTATTCCTGTGGCCATTACTACATCCTCTGGCAGCGAATTCCACATTTTAGTCACTCACTATGTAAAGAAGTATTTCCTTTTGTCCATCCTGAATGTACTGCCTATCATCTTTATTGGATGCCCTTGAGTTCTAGTATTATGGGAAAGGGAGAAAAACTTCTTGTAATGTATTCAGCCTGACATGCCCGGACTTGCCCGGGCTGGCCAGGCACAATTCCTATGTAGCTTCAGTCGAAAGACAAAAGATCCGAAGGATCCTAGCCGGCCCAATCAAAAGGGCTAGCTTCCCAGCCGGGAGACCAATGGTCGCCCGGTTACTGTAAATAGCCTATCGGGAGTAGGGGGTGTGTTTAGGTGTGCTTGGTGGCGGGTTTTCTGATTGCATATAAACCGGCCTGCGAGCCGGTCCGTTGTCTTTGTCCTGAACTAAATAAAGGTATGCTTAGCTGAAATCACTCTCCGTCTGCATACTTTTCACTTCTCTTTGATAACTCTCTCCACCCTATGCATAATTTTATAAACCTCTTATCATGTCCCTCCTTAGTCATCTCTTTTCTAAACTGAAAAATCCCAGACTCTTCAGGTCTTTCCTCGTAGGCAAGGTGCTCCAACCCCCTAATTATCTTGGTTGCCCTCCTCTGTACTTTTTCCAGCTCTTAGATGTATTTTTTGTGATACGGTGACCAGAAATGTACACAGTATTCCAAATGAGGCTGTACCATTGATCTATACAGGGGTGTTATAACATCGGCTATTTTATTTTCAGTCCCTTTCCTAATAATCCCTAACACAGAGTTTGCCTTTTTCACTGCTGAAGCACACTGGGTCGACACTTTCATTGAGCTATCCACTATGACCCCAAGATATTTTCCCCTCTCAGTCTCAGCAAGTTCACACTCCATTAGCTTATACTTAAAGTTAGGATTTTTTGTCCCAGTGTGCATCACCTTACACTCAACAACATTGAACTTCATTTGCCCGATTGTTGCCCACGCACCTGATTTGTGGAGATCCTCATTGTGGAGATTCTTTACACTCATCATTGGTTTTCACCTTCCTGAATAATTTTGTGTCAGCTACAAACTTGGCCACTATACTACTCACCCCTAGTTCCAGATCATTTCTGAATACATTAAATACTACCATACTGATGCTTGTGGGACGCCACTGCTTCCTACTGTCTATTGTGAGAACTGTCCATTGATTCGTACTCTTTGCTTCCTTTTAACCATGTTAATCCATAAGAGTTTTGGGTATTATAACTCCACATAACAAGAGGATCTGGGAGGGAAAGGGTTAAGAGAATTTCTCATTCAGGCACACTTGGTAGTTGGCCCCACCCTCTCATCAGTTAGATGCTGAACCTTTGGCTGTTTATTCCCTTCTGTTTTCATCTTATATAGGCCCTCTCTTCTTCTCTCTCTTACATGGGTTTGGAGCTGTAGCAAGTTTTTAATAATAATAATAATAATAATAATAATAATCATCATCATCTTTATTGCATTTGCAAGAAAGCCATAGCAAAAAACACACTTAAAATTGTCAAATTTGTATATAGGTTGACAGTTATCAGCAGTAAACTAATTAAACTCAGGGAGATTTGTTTTCTTAATCACCACGGCTAGAAAGGAAGCCACTATAGCCGTGGTTTGATTGTCAGGGGAGTTATCAGACAATAGCACTGAAACTACCCAAGGAAGGAGGAGAAGCTTTTCTTTTCTCATAACGGGAATGATATATATCTCTCTTTCCTTATTCCACTTAGGACAGAAAAGCATTATATGATCCATAGTTTCTATCATCTCTTGTCCACAATCGCAAACTCGTTCCGAAAATGGAAGTCCCAAGAAATGACCAGAGAGCACCTTAAAGGGGAAGGAATTAAGTCTCGCCAAGGTGAAAGCTCTGTGTTGTCTTTAAAGTATAGCAATATGACGGGATAGCCTCAGGGGGGGGCAAGACCCAAGGATAGACCAGAGCAAGTACGTCGAGCTCTTTGGAGGGTACTGCTGAAGTCAAGATCCTTTGGTTTTGATTTGATTTCTCTGAGTTACTTGTTTAACAATGGGGTTGTTATATCAATCCTCAAAGTTGTTAATTTCTGTGTAATTAGCTTTGATCGACTACTCTTGTAGGTGTCGCAGGGGATTAAATGTGAGAAGCCCACTTTATTTATGCTACCACCCTGGGCCCCCTTCTTCACAAACAGTTTGAAAGCTATGAGCCAGGCTCTCTTTTCAATTGATGGTTGGGCAAATTCAACCCTAAGTGCGGTTCCCGCTACACATCTTGGAACTGCCACAATTTCCCTCAGAAAAGTGTGTAGGGGTGAGTCAAGG